AATATCAACGACGTTCAAGACATTCAAGTTGCGTTCGTTGAGAAGTTCAACCAACATTGCGTTTGATCCGAGAAAAATCTATCAAGCCCTCGAGTCAATGTTCTTCAATTCCCTATTTCTAGAAGATCAAAGAAGCAAGTCTTCCAAAAAAGCCGTCTTCAATCAAATCAAGTCCTAACATTTAATGCGAGAATAAGTCATTTGACCCCTAAATTAATGTTAGATGAATTCAAGATTAAGCCCAAAGAAAATCCAAGTTCAAGTGAACTGTTGTTATGTGATTTTTAACAACGATGTAACAAGTGATTAAAGTGATAATGACGAACGGTTTGGACGTAAAGCATGTAAAAATAACTCAACAATGGCCCCGGTCCGAGGTGAACCGAGGTGAAGAGCCGTTATGGGCTTTTACGTGTTTCATATTAATGAGTTCGGGATCCCCCCGTACAAGTGTTGTAGGCAGTCTATTTATAGCAGCTTTTTATGTACATCTCGGGATTTGTGCATTAGCTTTTTCATAAAGCTACTTTTTGATAGGCGGTAGGATCAGTGGGTCCCATTTGAATGATGAAAAATCTCGTAATTCGTGGCGGGGGTGCGTAGGTGCCTTGTCACCTGCTTTAAGAGGTGACGACCTCGGTTCGGTTTAAGTAGACCTCGGTAGGTATCGGTCACTTCGGTTTTTGGTAGTCCGCACCGGTTTATTGCGTGGGCTAGCGTTGTAATATCCCGTCAGTTTATTAATATAAATTATGTTGTTAGTTCCGATATAATAATGTTGTCGAATTATTATTTTCGGAATTAATCATTTTCAGTCGAGACTACCGAAATTTATTTTCGACGTACCGTTACGTCCGGAATAATTTTAGTAATTAAGCATTATGTTTAATTAAATAATTAAACATATATTAGTGATTAATTGTTTAATTAATCACAATTAAGTGATTAAGCCGTGATTTATGTGCAATTTCCCCCAAATTTCTCCAATTGACGTGAGCTTCATTCATCATTTGTAATTATCCCAATTAATTCCTCAAAATCAACGAAGCTTTCTTATTGAGTAAGGAGAGTACATATGCTTAGTCATCCCAACTCATTTTATTTGGCAGCAAATGTTAACTAGCAATAGGCCACGTTTCACCGCATCATCACCCAAACAATTTCCTTTACTCTCGGTTTGGTATATGTAGAGCATTTGGACCGAAATTTTCCATTTTTTTCCCATCTTATGTTCAGCAACTCAGAGAGTAAGTTCAGAGAGTGAGAGAAATTAACTTCCTAACCAAACAAGAAGGCATCCAAGCTCAGCAATTAACAAAGCACCGCGCAAGAAAACGTCCGCACACGGACACGCACACGAGGAGCCGAGAAATCAAGTCTTTCTTGTGATTTTGACCGTGATCTTGAAAGGGTAAGACAAGATTACCTCTGAATTATCATGGTAGTGATGAGTTAGTTCTGTTTTGTTAAAGTCTCGAGCCGTTCGGCCGTGTATTCCCGTGAGTATCCGTGTGTGTGTGTTCGTATGAAGAATTGAGTCAAGGCATCAGGTTTATTTCAGAAATTTGTCAGTAATCAGACCCTATTTAACTCAATCATATGATATCATGTTAGTAATACAGGTCTCGTTTATATATTGGCCTTGCGCCGTTCGACCGGGTGCACCCGTGGGTGAGGGTGTCCGCGGTTAGAAGTCATTTGAACTCATCTTAATTGTTTCAGAAATCCTTTGGTATAGACCTTAGTTGGTTCAGCTATGTGATAATATGTTTAATTGTTCGGGCTGCTCGATAGTGGTTTGAATATTTTATTATTGGGAAGCTCGGCCGAAGGAGTGGCCGCGCATATCGCGCGTGACCGCGGGCCGCGCTAAGCTAGGGTATGGGTTCAAGTTGTAGTCAAGTTGTTTTATATATGATGTTGCTTCAGCCATTGTATTTAAATCAGGTCAAGGGATGATAAATGGAGTCAGTTTGGTCGGGAGTTAGTGCCGGACGGCCGGCAAGGGTCGGCCGTGGTGTTGCGCTGCCCGCACATAGCGGCAGCAGCGCACCGGCCCTCAGTCACTGCGCGACGGGCAGCGTATGCGCAAGCTAGGCTGCGTGCGTGTTGCTTGTGCGCGGTAGCGTTGCGGGCGACGTCCAGTAGCACGCCCGCCAACGGTTGTACACACCCGTGTGCGCATACCCCGTCCAATCCCTGCTGTGGCGCGCGATAGCGCCCAGCAGCGTCAGCTAGTGCCTGCGCCCGCGCACATAGCGCGGGGCAGCATTCAGTCCAGCACCCGCATCGTCCAGTACATGCCACGGCCAAGCCGGACAGCGCCAGCGTGCGCATCCTCGGCATGCCGCTGGCCAAGCCAGCAACCCACAGTCCGGTTCAGCGGACCGACTGTCCGGTCCAGACCGGTTCAGACCGGCTGGGCCGGTCCAGTCCCAAATTTTACGGTTCAATCCGTATTTTAAGGTTGCAGCCCCGGTTCTTAATTTCAGTACCAGTTCAGTTAAAATATCCGGGTTCCGTTCAGTCCAGTGAAATAATATCAGTTCAGTTCAGTTCCGTACTTAACTGGTTCTAGTTAAACCAATTAAGTCCGGATGTCATGTTAGTTGAGTAGAGCATCTTAACATAATTAATCAGTTAATGTATCAGTCTGCGCATAGTCCTTAGTAATTGTTTATATTATTTTTCAGTTTGATCAGGCATCAGCACTACCTGCATTTTCAGCTATTCAGGTAGGGACTCAGACTAAGTACTACATTGATTATAATATCGCTACCATGTTTGAGGTATGTATATTCAGTATCCGCTCGGAATGGTCGTCGGTCCATTCTGAGTTCTAGTGGCCCTAGTCTGCCCACTAGAGTGTGCACATGGTGTGCGGCTTTGCCGGCAGATGTTCAGGTTCAGTTCAGACGTGACTTATGTCACGAGTTCAGTATCAGATTATTCAGACCGGTATCAGATATCAGTTTCAGTTCAGTTATATATATACCAGGATAATGATATTGTTATTATTTTCACTGTTTTACTTTAGTATGAGTTTTCACGGGGCGCAGTGTGTTAGTGCTCACTTCCCACTTATTTCATGTTTTCAGGTCACAGGGTCGGGATTGAGGAGTGAGCTGACGAGCTGTTCAGGACATTTGTTTTGTCATGTATAAATTAACTATGTTTTGTCCACGCTACCTTTCCGCTAAAACTTTCAGTATTTGTAAACCGCTTTTGCTCCGACGTTAGCCGGTTAAGATATTATAACCGCTTTATTTTCAGTTTAAATTTTTAACGGTTTTCAGTCAGATTTTCATGGTAGCACTCCGAATCAGTTTTTGCAAAATAAATATTTAATTAATTTATTCAGAAAATTTGCGAAAAACGCGTACTCTGATAGTATTGAACTAGCGGGGTGTTACAATTGATATCAGAGCGTGTTTTTGCGTCTCTGAAAAGTTTTATAAGTCAGAAATTTCAGAAAAACCTGAATCGTCACGTTCACTCTTCACTGACTGTAGGTAAGTGCTGATTTATGTTTTAGTTATAAACATATTACTATTGTCTATGCTCAGAAATTATTAATCAAAATTTAGTTAAGATGCTCGAATCAGGATCAGGCTATAGAACTCAGTGCATTCAGATATAACCCTAGACGACTTTAGAATTTATATCAGTATTCATCGGCCATTTATGGCGACTCGTCAAGAGATTTGTGTGCCTTAGTAATCAGTCAGAATGTTATAATGTATTCAGTAATGTTAAATTTTCCTCAATGTTCAGATGCCACCACGTAGGGAACCCGATCATCAGGCTCCTACTCAGGCTATGGTAGTCGCTCAGTTTCGCGATTACCACGCTGAAAGGTTCTCAGGGCAGGAAGATCCCCACATCGTAGATGAATGGATTCAGGGGTTGGAGTTTATCTTTGAGGTTATGGACTGCCCCGATAGATATCGTGTAGTTTGTGCTCAGCTTCAGCTCACTGGTGATGCTAGGCTCTGGTGGAATGCCTACTGGAGCATGCGTCCCGGTGAAAAAGCGGGTTGTACATGGGACATGCTCAAGGAGCTAGTCCGCGAAAAGTATTACCCCTCCTACTATCGGGGAGAGATGGAGCGTCAGTTCTTAGCGCTTCAGCAGGGCACTCGTACAGTTGATGAGTACGAGCGAGAGTTCACTAGACTTGCAGCTTTCGTACCAGACCTGGTTCGCACAGAGGCTCAGAGAGCGCAGCGGTTCATTGACGGGCTTTTCCCAGCATTCCGTCACAACATCGTGGGACACGAGACTCAGACCTACGCTCGTGCAGTTTCTATCGCCCAGGAGGTGGACGCTAGCATTAGGAGGGAGGCAGTTCGTGATCGTGCCCAGCCATCTGCTCCAGTTCAGCCATTCGCAGCTCCACCAGCTCTACCAGCTCCTCAGCCGGCAAAGGAGAAGAAGAGAAAGGGGAAGGGTGCACAGACTGACCGGAGGACCCGACAGAGACAGCAGCCGATTCCACCATGCCCGACATGCGGACGACTTCACAGGGAAGAGTGTCGTGTGGGAGAGGACATCTGCTATTACTGCCACGAGCCGGGACATTTTGCGAGTCGCTGTCCGAAGAAACTCCAGCAGCAGCCCCAGCAGCCTCAGCAGCCACCACAGCAGCAACAGCCACGTCAGCAGGCACAGAGGCCGCCTCAGCAGCAGCAGCAGAGGGGCAGACAGCAGGCCAGGGTTTATGCGGTTGATCAGGCCGAGGCAGCACAGCAACCAGGTACTATGTCAGGGATGGTTGTTCTCAATGATATTCCTGTGTTTGCTTTATTCGATACTGGAGCGACGCATACTTTCATATCACGACGATGTCTTGATGCCATCGGAGTTCATGCCGTTACCGCTGTCGATCCTGTCGAGGTAAGTTTAGCCTCGGGACGAAAGATAGTGACGTCAGCTAAAGCCTCAGATCTTAGCCTTTCCATCGGTGGCCGAGTATTGACTGCCGACGCGTTTGTTCTCGAGATGAGGGATTTCGACCTTATTCTCGGAATGGATTGGCTATCCTTCTATCATGCAGACATCAGGTGTCATGACTGGGAGATCACTCTTTATCTTCCGGGAGATGAATCGATCACTTTGTTCGGTTCCAGGAATCGTTCACTGCCTCATGTTGTTTCGGTGGCGAAAGCCACTAAGCTACTGCGACGAGGCAACTGCCAGGGTTATCTGGTAAGCCATGTCGACGAGTCTCAGAAAGCGCGAACACCTCATGATGTTCCAATTGTTCGCGAGTTTGTGGACGTATTTTCAGACGAACTTCCAGGAGGACCGCCTAACCGACAGGTGGAGTTCTCTATCGATCTCATTCCAGGGGCCAGTCCAGTATCTAAAGCCCCATACCGTATGGCGCCTAAGGAGTTGCAGGAGCTTAAAACTCAGATTCAGGAGCTGTTACGACTCGGTTTCATCCGACCGAGCGTGTCACCTTGGGGAGCACCCATTCTCTTTGTCAAGAAGAAGGATGGATCCATGCGCATGTGTATCGACTACCGGGATCTCAACCGGTTAACAATCAAGAACAAGTACCCGCTTCCCAGGATCGACGACTTATTTGATCAGTTGAGGGGAGCCTGTGTGTTCTCAAAGATTGATTTACGATCAGGCTACCACCAGCTGAAGATTAAGGAGTCAGATATCGCTAAGACCGCTTTCAGGACTCGTTACGGCCATTACGAGTTCATCGTCATGCCTTTCGGTCTCAGCAATGCGCCAGCAGTTTTCATGGACCTCATGAACCGTATCTTCCATCCCTACCTTGATCAGTTTGTTATTGTCTTTATTGACGATATCCTCATCTACTCGAAGAGCCAGAAGGAGCACGAGGAGCATCTGAGGGTGGTTCTCGAAACCCTCAGACGAGAAAAGTTGTTTGCAAAATTCTCCAAATGCGAGTTCTGGCTCCAGCGAGTATCCTTTCTGGGTCATATGATTACTCAGGCAGGTATCGAGGTGGATCCTTCTAAGGTTTCAGCTGTTCAGAATTGGTCAGCACCGAGGAGTCCGTCCGAGGTTCGCAGTTTCCTCGGTCTAGCTGGATACTATCGCAGGTTCATCGAGGGCTTTTCCAAGATCGCCCTCCCTCTATCCCAGCTGACTAGGAAGTTTGTGAAGTTCGAGTGGACTGACAGATGTGAGTCGAGCTTTCAGGAGCTCAAGAGGAGATTAACTTCAGCATCGGTGTTGACTATTCCCGATCCTTCTCGGAGTTTCACTATTTTCAGCGATGCTTCGAGACAGGGCTTGGGATGTGTCCTTATGCAGGACGGCCAGGTCGTTGCGTATGCTTCCCGTCAGCTCAAGCCGCATGAGCAGAATTATCCGACGCACGACTTAGAGTTAGCAGCAGTCGTTCATGCTCTCAAGATTTGGCGGCACTATCTTTACGGCGGTCATTGTGAGATATTCACAGATCATAAGAGCTTGCAGTATATCTTTACTCAGAAAAAGCTCAACATGAGACAGCGCCGTTGGTTCGTCAAGGATTACGACTGCTCTATTCAGTACCACCCGGGAAAGGCGAACGTCGTTGCAGATGCCCTAAGCCGACAGGTGAGGGGTGATTTGACGTACGTCATTACTCAGCAGAGTCCTTTGATTCAGGAGTTTGCCCGGATGCAGCTTCAGGCGATTGATGCACTTCCCGTAGCAGTTACGGGGAGTACCAGTGCCAGTGTTAGTGCTATGCAGCTTCAGCCGACGCTGAGAGAGAGAATCCGACGAGAACAGGCTTCTGACGAATTCGTTAGTGTCATGGAGGCCAAGGTTCGCGCCGGAGGCGTCGAGGGTTTTCAGCTAGGTGCCGATGGGGCCCTAGAGTTCAGGGGCAGGATCGTGGTCCCGAAAGTTGAGGCGTTGTGGAAGGAGATTTTATCAGAGGCTCATACCGCACCCTATCTCGCCCATCCCGGAAGCACGAAGATATATCACGACCTGAAGGGGTCGTTCTGGTGGCGAGGCATGAAGAAGGACGTCGCCGAGTTTGTCAAGAGATGTTTAACCTGTCAGCAAGTTAAAGCCGAGCATCAGAGTCCGATTGGCCTCCTACAACCACTGCCGATTCCGAGGTGGAAGAGGGAGAAAGTCACGATGGACTTCGTTACGGGATTGCCGAGGTCGTCTGAACATCACGACGCTATCTGGGTCGTGGTCGACAGATTGACTAAGGTTGCGCATTTCTTACCCGTTTCGATGAGGATGTCCATGGATAAGTTGGCTGAGATATATGCCCGTGGGATCTTCCGACTCCACGGAGTGCCCGTTACGATTGTATCAGACAGAGATCCCAGATTCGTCAGTCGATTCTGGCACAGCTTGCATGAGGCGATGGGCACGAAGCTTGAGTTCAGTTCAGCCTACCATCCGGAGACAGACGGTCAGTCAGAACGGACTATTCAGACGCTTGAGGATATGCTTCGCGCTTTGGTCGTTGACAGGGGTGCTAAGTGGGAGTCGTTGTTGCCGTACGCCGAGTTCGCGTATAACAACAGCTATCATTCTTCCATTCAGATGGCTCCTTACGAGGCACTTTACGGCCGCAAGTGTCGTTCCCCTCTCTATTGGGACGACGTCGGAGAGCGACGAGTACTCGGTCCCCAGTTGATCGAGGAGACAGCAGATCAGTTCGAGTTGATCCGGAAGAGACACAGGACAGCTCAGAGTCGTCAGAAATCTTCCGCCGATCATCATCGGCGAG